AATTAATCTAATCTCTGCAGTATCATCCTGCTAACTGAAATAATTCCTGACAATGTTTTGTTGATCCCTGTGACTGGCGAATGCCAGCAAAGTGATGTGACAGCATATGGCAGAATTTCTTATCTGTGATGGCTCAGTTTAGCATTTTAGAGTTTTTTTCAAGTCTTTTTCCTTTTAATCAGAGTTGTCTACTTGCTAAGAGATTAGGCTGGTTTTGTGTGTTTCCTCTTTGATAAAACTATAGGATTTAATGTTCTGTGAAATCCTGTTGTGTTCCCACAGACTTTTCCAGGAGCAAACTTCACACACAAATCACCGGGTGTTGCTGCAGTGAAAGGCAGTGGTGGGGTGCACAGGCTTGAAGTATTAAGTGTTGTTTATTTTTAAATGCTTGCAGAAAGGATAATGTTCTTTAATTCAGTACCTGTCTGGATCATTCCAGGACTGCTGCCAGCAATGGCAATGCCATGGTTTCAGCTCTCAGTGGTCACCCCCAGTGGTGTCCCATCACCAGTCAGGTGGGAGCTGTGGGGATGGCCCATGGATGTGCTGGAGCATTTCCATCCCAGTGACTGGTATGACAGGTATTAACTGGGATGGTCCATGGATGTGCTGGAGAATTTCCATCCCAGTGACTGGTATGACAGATATTTACTGGGATGGTCCATGGATGTGCTGGAGAATTTCCATCCCAGTGACTGGTATGACAGATATTTACTGGGATGGTCCATGGATGTGCTGGAGAATTTCCATCCCAGTGACTGGTATGACAGATATTTACTGGGATGGTCCATGGATGTGCTGGAGAATTTCCATCCCAGTGACTGGTATTACAGGGTGCACTGCTTGGGCAGAAACTAATGCTGAAAACTTTGATGTCCAAGCCACGAGGGATGCTGACAGCATGGCTATGAACCTCTTGTTCCAGTGGGTTTTGCTGGAAGCAGGGTCAGGCCTGGAGCCACAGAGTGTCACAGCCATCGGTGCTGCCCAGCACTGCAGCACAGGACAGCACCAGTGTCTGCAGCTCTGCACCTAATCCACACATCAGCTAAAGTGGGTTTGATTCTGAGAAGTCTTATGGACCCCAATAAGGATCAGTAATCATTAAAATTAGCCACATGCTGATTTAATCAACATATAGCTTTGTTAATTACCAGCTCTTTCTTTATGTCCATCTGTTTTGAAGATTTTAGTGAACCTGCAGCAGCTGTTCATGTAAATATAATAAGCTGGTTGCCGTGAAAATATAAAATTTTCAGGAGTATTTTTGTATCAGGCACCCAATTTATTTGTGCTGTTGTCAGAATCATGTCTTCAGGGGCTTAAGTGCACAAGTGATGACGTTGTTATAATCCATGCTGGAGGCAGTGTCTGCTGCTGGGCCATCCCCCTGTCTGGCCTTGCTCCACACCCCACTCCTGGCATTCCTGCTGCATGGCTGGGCCCAGCATTCCAGCATTCCAGCATTCCAGCACTGCCTGGGAACTGCCACCCAAGCATGAAATCGGACTCTCTCATTCATGCTCCCTTCCAGAGCATGAACAGTTAATTCTGCTCTCAAGCTGAACATGCTCCATGGGGTTCCAGGGAGCAGGTCCTCCCTCTGAGCGTGGTGGGTGCAGCCAGCATTCCAGAGTGGACCTCCATTCCATTCCATTCCATTCCATTCCATTCCATTCCATTCCATTCCATTCCATTCCATTCCATTCCATTCCATTCCATTCCAT